GTGCAGCCAGAATGCTCCTTGGAAGCAAGAATGGCCAGACTTCGTCTCACCTATTTTGGTCATGTTGTAAGAAGGGACCATTCCCTCCCTGGAGAAGGATGTCATGCTTGGTAGGGTGGAGGGTCGACGAAAGAGGGGGAGGCCTTCAAGGGGACGGATTGATATGGTGGCTGCAATGATGGGCTCAAGTATAGCAGGGATTGTGGGGCTGGCGCGGGATCGGGCATTGTTTCGTTCTGCTGTGCATGGGGTCGCTGAGTCGGAAATGACTCGACGGCACTTAACAACAACAACAACATTACATTCCCACCAGAATGGCTAAAATTAAATACTAGCAATGCTTAGTATTAGCAAGGATGTAGAACAAAGAAAACTCCCTTAATTTCTGGTGGGAGTATAAATTGTTAAAACTAGTTTGGAAAATTATGTGGCATTATTTATTAAAGATAACATGCATGTCCTGAGGCAGTATTTTCACTCCCAGGGAAACAATTCCCATCAACAGTAGAATAAATAGATAAATAAACAGTATAATAGCATTACAATGAAACACTACACTATAACAAACATGACTAAACAACTGCTATATCCAACAACATGAATAGATCTCACAAACATAGTATTAAGTGAAGAAGCCAGACACAAAAGAATACATATTACATGATACCATTTGTATAATGTTAAAGAACTGGCAAAACTGAAGTGTGATATTGACTTAGAATAGTAGTCCTTATTAGGGGGAGATTGTGACTGGAAGGAGGCACAGTGGTTTCTGGGATGCTAATAATGTGGAGTGTTTTTTTTTTAAAAAAAAAACCTAGTATTAGTTACACTGGAGTACTCACTTTGTAAGTATTCATGTAGTTGTACATTTATGATATGTGGGTTTTTTTTTTTTTTTTTAGAATTCAGCTATATTTAATTTCTCTCATGAGGACAGAAAGATAAATAAGTCACGGTTATCAAGCCTCTTGTTGTTAAGTGCCGTTCAGTTGGTTCCAACTCATAGCAACTCATGTAATATAATAAAACAGTGCCTGGTCCTGCATCATTCTCACAGTTGCTGTGTTTGAGCCCATCATTGCAGCCACTGTGTCAGTCCATTTCTTTGAGGGTCTTCTTTCTTGCTGACTCTTTGCTTTTCCAAGAATGATGTCCTTCTTCAGGGACTGGTCCCTCCTGCTAACATGCCCAAAGTATATTAGACGAAGTTCATTTTCCTCACATCTAAGAAGCATTCTGGCTGTATTTCTTCCAATATAGATTGGTTTGTTCTTCAGGCTGTCCATGGTATTATTCAGTATTCTTCACCAATAATGTAATTCAAAGGCATCAGTTCTTCTTTGGTCTTCCTTATCATTGTCCAGCTTGCACATGCATATGAGATGATTAAAAAGACCATGACTTGGGTCAGGCACACCTTAGTCCTCAAAGTGACATCTTTGTTTTTTAACACTTTAAAGTTTTTTTTTTTACAGCAGATTTGTCCAGGAGCTCTGGTAGCATAGTGCCTAAGGTACTTGACTGCTAACCATAAGGCTGGCAGTTCAAACCCACCATGCACTCCTCGGAAGGAAGATGGGGCAATCTACTTCCGTAGTGATACTGCCTCGAAAACCCAAGGAGCGGTCACTATGAGTCGGGTCCGACTCGACAGCACATAACAACAACAACAACAGTAACATATATGTTGTTTGATTACTGACTGCTCCTTCCATAGGTGTTTGATTGTAGATCCAAGTTAAATGAAATCCTTGACTACTTCAATATTTTCTCTGTTTATCATGATATTGCTTACTAGTCTAGTTGTGAGGATTTTGTTTTATTTCTTTTTTAACTTTTTATTATGATTTGGGAGAAAGTTTACAGAGCAAATTCATTTTCCATTCAACTGTTCATACACATTTTGTTTTGTGACTTCAGCTGTAATACCCACAATGTAACAGCTCTCTTCCTCTCCTTGGTTACCTTTTCCCAATGTCCTTCTTTCCTATGCATTCCTGCCCTTTGAGCTTTCTCCCCCTGCAAATGCTGCTCTTCTGATCTCTGTTCTGATCTGAAAGATTTGAACAGATCTTGATTTAGCTAAACCATTGTACTTGAGATCATATCCTGAGAGATACTTGATTGTTCTTTTATAGCCGTGGAATTTTCTTCCTTTTCTACAACCACTTTGTGAACAGACTCAGGGCTGTGGTCCAAATTATACCACTAGGTGTCACCAAGGAGTGATGAATGGATAAACGTGGCAGGATCCAAGGATAAAATGTGTTGAAAATTTTTAAGAGCTTATTTTCCAGACCACAAGGGCTCTGGAGGGAGGCACGTTAATGCAGAGAATCCTAGTGGAGGGCCGTGATAGTCTTAAAGGTTTACTCCAGCTTCCTAAGAATCCTAGAGGGATTCATTATTCCCTCTAGTTTCAGCTTCTTCTTATTTAATTATGTATGCATTTTACCTTATCTTTTCCCTTGAGACTTTCTTAAATTTGTGTACCTTGTTATTAGATGCCCTCCCACGTCATATGATTTTTGCTGAGGCCTGTGTATAATCTTAAAATTGACCACTCTGCTCTAAACATTGCTTTCAGATAGATTTTGTTGCCTCCATCCCCCTCGTTTGTTACTTCCCCATGTGTTGTTTCAGAATGCAGCAGAACTGATCACTTCCTATGTGTCAGGCTGAGTAGGAAGGGTGGGAGAAGGTAGGACTGATGTGCTAGGTTAGGCTCAAGGCAATGGGTTAAGGACAGTCTTTTCCGCATCTAATATTTCAATCTTTCTCTCCCTCCTTTGCCCTCCCCCAAACTAGCAACAAGGGCCTAATATTAAACCAGAGCTGAAAACTGGTTGCTCCTCCCCTTTCATCCTCTGAGCCTCAGAGTTAAGCCAACCTGTTCCTCATATTTGGGTTGACCAAGTATTTTTCTTACTGAGAAAGTAGGTAATTGTAATTTCCTACATAAATATTTAAGTCTTAGCTCCATTTCAGAATCTCAGTCTACACAAACACCATGAAGAAGATACTGTTATTGTGCCCCATTTTATAGATGTGGTATATTGAGAGGTTAAGAAACTTCTTGCCCAAAGTCACACAGCTATTGAGTGATGGGACAACCAGGTAATAAACCCAGGCAGTCTCAGCCCAGAATTCATGCTACTAACCCCCACCCTATGACTTAATTTTTTTATTTTAACTTTTTATTGTGTTTTAGGTGAAAGTTTACAGAGCAACTTAGTTTTCCATTCAACAATTAATACACACTTTGTTTCATGACATTGATTGCAATCGACTTAATTAAAACTATAAAAGTAAACATTTATCAAGTGCTTATTATACATGAGGCACTGTGCTAAGTCTTTTATGTGCATTATGTCATTTATTCCTTACAGGAACAGTAGGAGGTAGGTACTGTACTATCCCTGTTTTTTATGTGAAACTAGGACACAAAAAGTAAATATATAGCCTAAGGCAACTAATAAGCCCTAGGTGGTGCAGTTGGGCTATGAGCGCAAGTCTTTCCGACTCTAGATTTCAACCTCTTAACCACGATGCTGTATTGCCCATGGACCTCTGTTGCTATTAATTGGGTCAGATCCCATCTATAGTTTGCCCCAGTTCAAGGTACTGATATTCTCTTTATTGGCTTACATATGCTATGAAGTACATTGCTCATTTTCCAGTGCTCCAGGGCTACATCCAGGGATAATACTCGAGTGATTTCCTAGCCAACGCTACCTCGTTAACCTTATCATTAGATGCTGCTTCCTTGAGTAATAGCAGTTTTTCAGGCTTGGGCCATTGTCCCCAGTTTAGGCCAATAGGACCTGTTCTGTCTCAGCTCTCCTTTGTTTGAGTAATTCATTCACCAGCAATGAGGTGATTCTTACCTATTATACAAGCAGTTCTCGGTGGAGGCATGAATATGAAATATAGGTAGAAAGCCAAAGCACTGTTTGAAGAATGTTGTTTCTAAGGATGGTGGTTTATGAACCTTTCTTTTCTATTTGTTCTCAAGGGTTTTCCTTCTGAAAAAGCACAAGGTTTTGCAGCAGCAAGAGAGAAATTCCATTAAGAGGAGGAAAATCAAGCTTACTTCATCTCTCTTTCCCTCTCCCCAGAGTCTGAATGGTGTTTGGCTGAACAGAGAACGTCTGGAACCTTTAAAGGTATATTCCATCCATGAGGGAGACCACATCCAGCTTGGGGTGCCTCTGGAAAACAAGGAGAGTGCTGAGTATGAATATGAAGTTACTGAAGAAGACTGGGAGAGGATGTATCCCTGTCTTGCCCCAAAGAGTGACCAGATGATGGAAAAAAATAAGAGCTTAAGAACTAAAAGGAAATTTAATTTGGATGAATTGGATGGTCCTGGAGCTGAAGGCCCTTCAAATTCAAAATCCAAAATAACTAAAATGTCTTGTGAGCCTGGTCAGCCAGAAAAGTTACATGAGGAAGGAGAAGTGGACAGTCAGCCCTCTGAATATTTGGATCCTAAATTGACTTCTCTTGAGCCCAGTGAGAAGACCACAGGGGCTCATATTTACCCTGCCGCCCCAAAAGTTGTGGAGCTTCGTCAGAAGACGCAGAAAGCCCCAAACCCTTCTGCGTCTCAAAGCAGCTTAGAGCTATTTAAGTTAACCATGTCTAGGATTTTGAAGCTGAAAACACAGATGCAGGAAAAGCAGGTAGCTGTTCTGAATGTGAAAAAGAAGAACCAAAAGGGAAACTCAAAAAATATTGTGAAAATGGAGCAGGAACTACAGGATTTACAGTCCCAGCTGTATGCGGAACAGGCCCAGCAGCAAGCGAGAGTGGAGGAACTAGAGAAGACTTTCCAAGAAGAGAAGCAATGTCTCCAGGTACCATCCAGGCGAGAAAGACAAGAGTGCCCCTAGGGGTGGGCAGGCCCTCCATGAGCTCCTGGTTGGAAGCTGTTTCCAGGCCAGGGACCAAATACTGAGTACCAGGAGCTGGAGATGGCATGGGAGCAGAAAAGTTTGAGATACTAGAAGGGGGTTGAGTTAAGGGTTAAGGTTTCAGCATGTAGGTAAGATGAGGAGCTAGAGTTGGGGTACTATGATAGGGTAAGATGATGAGCAGAGCCAGCCAGGACATAGCTGATCTCATGATACAAAACTGAGGCGATTCAGAATGAATGTCAATTCAGGGAGAAGTTGGATAAAGGTCAGCTTGCCATGAAACCACAGTACAGCCTATTTATACTGGTAGTTTTCTTCATAAGTTTGGCTCTATGGTCAGAGCCAAATCACGTAGCCCCACAGCAGGTACAAGTCAGGTAGGTGCTTTATCCTTGTGTCTGTCTACTTGTTAACTATGAGGGTTAGTTAACTCTGTAACAAACCTAGGAGGTGGGAGGCTAGAAAGGGAGAAAATGTTTTTGTGTCTGTCCTGCACAGCCAGCATGGGAGAGGACTGGTGCACCATGACTCAGTTGTCGGGTTGAGTGATAAACTGCCTTCCACAGTTTCTTTAGCAGAAAGGTAAAGTATTTGCTGTCTTAGCTGTGTCAAGGTAAGACCAAATGTGTCCCAGTCACTGAGCCATTTGCTTAGATGACAAATTCTTGCACAGAGCTTCTAGGCTAGAGCCGATGCTAGTCTCTGCTCGAAATGTCAGCTCCCATCTGGCAGGAACCATACATTTTACTCCCACCTAATTCCTCAGGTAATACTGAATGTCAAGAATTCCCCATTGTTGACTTAGAACTAAGGGCCAAATCACACTGAAGTGAATAAGCTTTTATCTTTTATTTGGGTTGCTCAGGGCAAGGAACAACCAGAAGTAGTGTTGGCTGATTTCTGAACAATTTAAAAATTTGGTTCTAATTTCTGCTGTTCCCTTAAAAGGAGAGTATTAGTAAAGGCCATGGATTAAATAAATATATACATGTATGTGGGAGCTCTGGTAGCGTAGTGCCTAAGGCACTTGACTGCTAACCAGAAGGTTGACGGTTCAAACCCATCAGCCACTCCTCAGAAGGAAGATGGGGCAATCTACTTCCGTAGTGATACTGCCTCAGAAACCCAAGGAGGGGTCGCTATGAGTCAGGTCTGACTCGACGGCACATAAGAACAACAACAACAACATACATGTATATACATGAGTTGCATTTGTGTACATTTTTACTTCTCTTATTCAGCCTGGGCTAGTTCTTGAAGTTCATAGGAGGTAGTTTATCTTTACATATTAGTGTATCATACTTTCACCAGAGCATAACTCTCTTTAAAGGCTAATGTGTTTAGGAATAACACATTAATATTTGTGGCTGCTCTGTGTGTGCTTCAAGGTATAGCGGCAAAATCTTTTTCTGTACCAAAATGCTAAAGAAAAGCAAAAAAAAGCTAGTTTAGAGACTTGGTCTAGGTATAAGAGGGTCATGTATATATTGTTCGTAGTGGTGTGTGTCTAGTCCATTAAATTGTTTACTAGGTACTTTTCCTTCTGCCCACCAAGCTGTACCCCTAGTACTTGCTCTGAAGGAAGCTCATTAAACCCTTCACTTCTTCACACAGATTTCTCCACACAGATTTGTTTTCAGCACCTATGCTGCCTGGCACTGTGCCTGGAGTTCTGGTAACTGTGAAAATGCTTAATAAATAGTTTTTGCCACTAAGGAATTTGCAGTTGAGGGGACAAGATATATGTTGCACTTCAGAGAACAGTTTCAAGTCAATATATTCAATCAGTGAACAATTTCAAGTTGACATGTTAAATGTGTTATCATTGGGTGAAGTGGAAGGGAAGGGCCCAAGCATTTTTGTGGAAGAGTGCTGGTTGTCAGTTAATGATGATGTGGAAGGCACTCTGGAGGGGCCAGTGAGGGAACTATAGCATAAGCTCTGGCAAGGAGGGAGGAGGAGAAGTTTGTGAACTAGAAGTGGTAGAGAGACTCAGAATGAGAGATGAGGTGGCTAGAATTGAGGGCAGAAACATGGTGGAACTCATGAGTGCCGGCCTGGAGGATTATATCTGAGTTCATTTAGTGACTCAGAAGCTCTCAGTGTGCATCCTTTTAGAGTCCCAGCATTAGCCAGTGGACTTGGACTATTAGCCCAAGGTTTTCCAGAATAATTCTAGTGGTGGCTTAAGGGTGACAACACTGAGATGTACAGTGTCTGAATAGATTGTTCTGTTCAAATCCCTTATTACCAACAGCTTCAAGTAAAACAGGAGATTTTCCACCTGCTCCCTGCCCCCTGTTGTTTCCAGATGCTCATGCTAGCTGGTCTGGTCTGGATTTTGTTCCTGTTTTCCCCTTTCTGCAGGGAAACCATCCATTTTGTTTTTGGTTTTGCAGGGTTTGGAGAAAGAGCAAGGAGAAGAGGACCTGAAGCAACAGCTGGCCCAGGCTCTGCAGGAGGTAACTTAATCTCTTGCCACTGTTCTGAGATTATAGTGGACTACAAAGTGGGAGGCAGCCAAGTGTTTTGTGGCTGCTCAGCCCACATCTCTGTGCATCTCCAGTCTGTAAACAGAGCAGATGGCAGCTGCTCACACCATCAGGTCAGAGATTTGGAGCCTCACAGACATGCCAGACCGCAGCATGAAAACTTACATCTTCATCTGAGCAGAAAGTTGCTCTAGTGAAGAAGAAATGGAGTCTGTAGTAATTAGGAGGCTCTCTGGGGAAATGGCTCCACTTCCACAAAGGTGAGGGCTACACAGGGGAAATACGAGCTGTGACTGGCCACCAGCACCTGCAAGGGTCTCCATTAACTCACTGTTCTGATCTGTAGTCATCCAGCAACCATTCAAGAAACTTCCAATTAAGCATTTTAGGTGAGATTGAGAGTATGCAGATAAACAGTTAGCAAAGCACATCGATTTACTGAAAGGCAAGGTTCATAGGAATAAAAATCTAAAAAATTGCCTATAGTTTATGCCATTTAATTTGACTGCTTCTTTCATAAGCTCTTTTGCATCTTTAAAACTTGCTTTTGTCTTCTATCCTTTATGTATTGTGATTAGTAGTTTGAAGCAGTTTTAGTCAGGAGTTTAGTGGGATGGTTCAAATCTCCTTGAGAAAAGTGAACAAAGCATTAGAGTTTTTTCAGGGGAATTTACCCTCATGTTCTTTTCTTGCTGCCTACCTCCCAACCTTCTTACAGTGCTCACAGTCACATATCGTTGTAAGTATTAGAGGGTACGTGCCTTGATTTTCTTGAAGGGGTCCAAAGAGCCTTGGGAAAGAATTAGGTGAAAGTGAATTCAATCCTTTTGGAATTTTATTTTCTGACCTTGTTTATTTTCTAGGGTGGGAGGGTAGGCATGTGTCCTATTTAGAATTTTCAAACATTATTAAATTGACATATTGTTTTGAAATTGACTAGAGAAGAATAAAGTTCTGCTACTTGGAAATCACCAAAGGATCATTGAGTACCCCGCACCTACAACTCCTCACCCTCTCCCTGGACAGGCAGGGAAGCCTACCAATCATTTAGCATGGAGTACTTGGCCAGTGTGCATTCAGTACCTTTTAATGTGGGATTTTAAGCTGATGATTCTATTCCAACACACCTGAGGGGCATACCACTCTCAACTGAATGGTGGTTCTTTTGGACCCTGCTGGTCCCTCTGAAGCTGTTCTCTTTATTTTATTTTATTTTTTATTTACCAGGCCATTGTGAAAGCTTGCATTTATAGAGCATAAAAACATTTCTGGTTGCTTTCATACCTGCCATTTTCTTATCAACACTGAAATAGAAAGGGTACTTGTTTTCCCATTTTGTAGGCATGCAGATCTAATTAGTGGTCAAGCACCCAGCCTTTCTGACATAACTGCATTTTTGGAGACCATACTTTAAAGTTTGTTTCTTGAGTAATATCGTTTCAAAAATACTTTCACTCCACTTTCTTAAAAAAAAAAAAAGTTCTGGTGGTGCAGTGGTTAAGCACTTGGCTGCTAACCAAAGGTCAGTGGTTCAAACCCACCAGCTGCTCCACAGGAGAAAGATAAGGCAATCTACTTCCCTAAAGATTTATAGCCTTGGCAACCCAATAGGGATCACTATGAGTTGGAGTTGACTTGATGAAAGTAGGTTTGTTTGTTTTTTTTCAATAAGACAAAATTGACTTGATGACAGTGGTTTGTTATGGTTTCTTTTCTCTTTTAAAAAAAATCCTTTAAAGAGAGAATTTGACGTGAGATTTTTAAAATATAAGCTATACTTATATGGAGGAGCTTATATATACTTATATACTTATATGAAGGTGCTCTGGTAGTATAGTGCCTAAGGCATGACTGCTAACTAGAAGGCTAGTGGTTCAAGCCCACCAGCCACTCCTTGGAAGGAAGGTTGAGCAATCTACTTCCATAGAGATACCACCTTAGAATCCCAAGGAGGGGTCACTATGAGTTGGATCCGACTCCACGGCAGTGAGTTTGGTTTAGGTTTTTTTAAACTTAAGCATGAAGAGCTCATCAATTATGTTTCATAGAAGTGGAAACTCTTGACATTTGGTGTAGGCAGTTAGTCACAGTGAATGACTTGTTGTTAGCTCTTGGGTATGCCAGCTTCCAGAAGGCCCTGGCAGGGTTCAGGCAGCATTGCCTTATGAGCGTGTAATGTGTGAGCTATAGAATAAATAGGTTGAAGATCTTTTTTCATTTCACAAATATGATTATCTAGGTTCTCTGAAGCCCATTTTCCTCTGATTATTTCTTAAAAGCCACTCACAGTGCTAGTTACTCTCACAGTTATTTAGTAGTTCTTGAGCACTGATTCTCAGAATCACTTGGGCAACTTTTTTGAAAAATACACATTCCTGGGCCCCAAGCCAAACCTGTGGACTCAGACTCCGGAAGGCAGTAAAAATTCTTCCTTTGGTTTGGATGGCTACCTGGATTGGGAACAGCTGTTTTAGGGCTAATGGATTTCTTCCCCATTTCCTTTCCTGAAAAAAAAAGCAGCAGGCAGGTGGGATGTCCTGGAGGAATGAAGACATTATTTTGAAATTGCCAGTTCATTGATAAGTTGAGCCAAGCCACTGGCTAGCAGGAGGGAGCAGGCGTATGTGTAGCTAAAAGGAAAGATACAGCATGGATCACCCTGAACATGTATCTGCTGTTTCTGCAGCATCGGGCTCTAATGGAAGAGCTAAATCGCAATAAGAAGAACTTTGAAGCAATCATTCAAGCCAAGAACAAAGAACTGGAGCAGACCAAGGTACTGGAAAGAAGATGGAGGTTTAGAATTTGGTTAGTACATGCAACTCAGCATTTTTAACAGTGCAAGGGTTGCTTTGGTGAATGAAGAGAGAGATTATGGCTGCTCCTTGCCTCAGGGGAAATAACCTGTAAAATTATTCAAGCCTCCGGAAGGTTCTGCCTATAAGACAACTTCTGTTGGTTTTTTTTTTTTTCCCCCCTTGTTCAGAAGCAGAATGCCAGGAATAAGTCACTCACATCCTACAGTCTAGTCCTTTGTCTGTGGTAGCTCCTCCTTCAGGGTGTTTCACTGGCAGAGACTAAGGATGGTGTGGTCAAAATAAAAAAATAGTTCATCCTGATGCATTCTTGTAATTCCTTCCCACATTAAATCAATGTCGTTAGGTGCCATTGAGTCAGTAGCGTTCTTAAATTAGGCTTATAGATTTAAATGCCTATCAGGGCCAGATTAGCAATTGAGAAGTAGGTGAAGTAGGCTGTGTGTAAGATAGTGAGGACTGGCACGTTTGAAAGGGGTACTCCCCCCCTCATCCTCTCACCTGAGGAGGCAGCCCTTCTCTGCTACAGCCAATTGTTGCTGTCCAGAAATGCAGGCCCCATGTTGTCTGATCTTCTGATTTTTCCATAGAAGATATAAATCTAAATGTTAATGTAAAATTTCCCAACTTTCTAATATTGGCGACAAGTTCAGTTTTTATTTTTGTTTTTAATGCCATGAGAGCCAAACTAAACAAGTCTGCAGGCTGGATCCAGTCTACAGGTCATCAGTTTGCAACCTCTGACCTGGATGTGATACCTAAGCCTAACTGCATCTCTCATTCCTACCCTAGAGCCAAGTACAGACCGGGGTGGGGGGGCGGGAGGAGGAGACATTTTCAGTTGGTTTGATATCCTTATGCTGTGTTTAAATCACATAGTACCTTCCCCCTGCAACCTCCAAGTAGCCAAAACATCTTTTTTTAACCCAATGATTCATAAGTTTTCAGGGAACTTGACTATAGTCAGAATTGGATACAGACCTTCTGCATTGCCCTAAGCAGCCTGACAGTCTACTTTGCTTTGAAAATAAAAGATGAAAAAGAAACCAGCTATTCAAAAGTACCCTGAATAGTTTTTCTCTCCCTTCCACTTACGGGCTCGTGATACCTTCTGTTTGGGGGATGAGATGCTGCTAACTTAAATAAATATCTGAGAACCTAGAATTCTCCCTAAAATGTTGGTATTCATGAGCAGTCTGACGTCTTGGAAAACAGGAATTACATTACAGATCTATGCAGGAGTGGGAAGTAGCAAGCATCATAGATCATGGGGCCTGAAGGTGCTTCAAGAAGCCTTCTCTCCTGCCTACAGGGAATATAGATATTATCCCTATTTTACAGCAAAGGCAGATATAAAGACGTCTAGAGGAAACCTTATGACTGATTCTATCTTCCTGCCTTTACTGGGATGATCGTCAACTGTTTTTCTTTATCCAGTGCATTTTAATTGTTTAGGATCCTTTTAGCCATCTCTGACTGCAGCTTGCTGTAGGATGCTTAATGTCCTATTCTGGTCTTGAGTGGTTAGTGGGGTTAGTATGCCACCCCCAGTTTCTCTCATTTTGTTGATTTTGGGAAGGAGACAGAAGCTACAATACAAATACTGAAAAAGAGAGAAGAAAGAAAGAAAGTCAGTTCCCTGTATCAGAAAGCAGTTCTGAAAAACAGTACCCCTTAGGGAAAGTATTTTATTCTCATCTTGCTGCACCAGAATGAATTTTTAATTTAGGCTCCTTCTGAGTCCTATTCTAGACAATTAACCCTGCTCCCTGTCTGGTTTTGCATTCTGTTGGTTTTCCTGAATGACAGGTGGGGTTGTGTGTCTTTGCAGGAAGAGAAGAAGAAGGTGCAAGCACAGAAAGAGGAAGTTCTTAACCACATGAATGATGTGCTAGAAAATGAGCTCCAGTGTATTATTTGCTCAGAATACTTCATTGAGGTAATTCTGAATATAGTAGCTCCCCTTCTCACCTTCCTGACTCTGAATGGAGCCTGAGCTGCATATGCTGCCTCTGCAATACGAAAAACTGCTAAAGATAATTTTCTTCCAGCAATTCTTTGTGGCTCTCTGATGGCAAAGTGACTGCAAGAGATGGAAGCTTCTCATTTCTTTTTGAAGTCTTTTATTTGTTCTTGAATATTTATTTGCTGTCATAATATTTTTAGCCACAATAAAACCTTTATCTCTGGGAGGGGAGGGAGGTTACATAACAGGACCACATGGCATTAGATTTTTGAAATATTAGAATAAAGCTGCTCAACAAAGCAATCTTTCTTTACTTTGAATGGGCACTCTGCTGAGAGCAAGTGTTTAGTGTAGCCTTTTCAAAAAGGTGGTAGATGTCATTGATGTATGGTCACTTTGGGAATTTAGGGGCCACGTTGAACATACTTCAAGGATTGTAAAGCTCCTTGTGAAAATGAATCATCTCTCCCTGAGGTTACCATTTGTTATCCTGTCATGTTTTTTTCACAGAGTATTTTTTCATAAAATTCTACTATTTGTTACCACAAGTATTAAAACTCAGATTGTTAAATGATTGCATTGCAGACTCCTTTAAAAAGGGAAATACACACGTACACTGCTTCCTTTGCTAAGAGGTCTTTAGGGAGGCTCGATGTAAAAGCCTCCTGAAAAATCCTTCCTGGGCAGACCATTTCCCTACGTTAGAGAAACTCAGTGTTGTTTGTCAGGGCCATGGACTCTGTAGAGGGAGACAAGGAGCAGGGGCTGGAACGGGTGATAGGTTAGCCAACCCAAGGTGTCTGCACATTGGCCTGTGTTTTGTTTACAGCATACTGTCTGACCTGTATGACCAGTCTCTTCTTAAAAGTCAGCATTGAAAAGATGTTTCATTTTAATCAGGCAGGATTTTAGTCATGTTTATGAGGGTTGGTTTGTAAATAACTTGTCTCCTAGTTTTCTAGCTTTCTGAGTTTAATTTGACATTTAAAAAATATCTCATTTCTATGCTATTTTCTACTGCTACCCTCAAAGCAAGAATGAGGACTTTTGAGCCTGAGAGAAAGTTGCATCATAGGAAATATATATAACATGAGTAATGAATAGAATGATTTACATTCTCTTTTTGGTAATGAAAGGACTCTGGTAGTAATCTAACCAGAGGAATTATACAGAGGAGCCCTTGAATCCAGCCTTCCTTTTGCTTTTTCTCTCCTCAGACACTGTCAGGGAACCCTTTATGTTTGTCAAATTTTTTTTTTTATTCCTTTTCCACTCAACTGTTCACTTTTTTTTTTTTCTTTAGAGATGAAGCCTCCTGTCATTCTGTATACTAAGTAGTCAGTATGTGTTCCTGTTCGAGCTTCTAATTCACCATTATTAGCAAGGCATAAATTTGTTTCTCATAAGAGAATTAATTAGTGATGTATTTGTACCATAACATTCACACATTTACTCATCTTCTTTGTGTTCGGTGACATTGTTTGCAAGGTGGCTAGTTCACATTGATGGTGTGGTCTGAGTTGATGGAACAAATCAGACAAATCAACTTACCTAGGGCCTGAATACATGACCTTACCTTTGAGGAAGGAGGAAATGAACTGTCAAATCTAAAACTTGAATTTCCCAACCTCGAGAATGATACTCTTGCCCATTGTAAGCCCTCCAGATGTGATTGTGGTTAACTTCCTATTTGGCCTTGGAAATAAGCTCCCATTCTAGCTGTGAGATCACAACTGCCCCAGGAAAGTAAGTGTGACAATTCTGATGTGGACAATTCTCATTGTAGGCTGTCACCTTGAACTGTGCCCACAGTTTCTGCTCCTACTGTATAAGTGAGTGGATGAAGCGGAAGATCGAATGTCCCATTTGTCGGAAAAGTATCACATCCAAAACTCACTCCCTGGTCCTGGACAATTGCATTAGCAAGATGGTAGATAATCTGAGCTCAGAAGTGAGAGATCGACGAAATGTCCTCATTAAGGAACGAAAAGGTGAGTGGTTATGAGAATGCCAGTTCCTCAGCAAAGGACTTACTACAAATTCTGACAGATGTATAAAGTATTTGTCATAGTACTTTTACCTATAATTAAGTTGCTTAATTCTCACAATCTTATGAACTATTCAGGAAGGTCATGAGAGATACTACTATTTAAGAAAATTGAGGCCCAGGGGGATAAAACAACTTAACCGATATTATACGGCAAAAGTTGTATTAGTTTCTTAGGGTTGCTAAAACCTAGTATCGCAAACTGGGTGACTTAAAACAACAAAAATTTCTCCTCTCACAGTTCTGGGGACTAGAAGTCTGAAATCCAGGTCAGCAGGGCCATACTCCTCTGGAGGCTCAGGGGAAGAATCCTTCCTAGCTTCTGCTGGCTGCTGGCAATCCTTGCCATTCCTCCTTGGCTTATAGCTGTATCACTCTGATCTCTGCCTCCATCATCACATGGTCTCCTTCCCTGTGCATCTGTCTGCCTCTAAATCTCTCCTTGTAAAGACACCAGTCAGAATGGGTTTAGTGCCTACCCTCCCTAATCCAATATGAGCTCATCTTAACTTGATTATATCTGCAAATATTTCCACATAAGGTCACATTCACAGGTACCAGGGGTTAGGACTTGAACATATCTTTTTGGGGAACATAATTCAACCCACAACAGTTGTCTAGCCATTTTCTATTGTTTTATGTTCTGGAAAAAACCAAGGATACCTGTGCTAAGGTCATCTTCCTTTATAGCTCATCATATCATAGAGTTAATATCCCTCTTCTCTTCTAGACCCCAAGGGGTTTCCCCTTTCCTAACTTTTTCTCATATGGCTAGATTTTTTACCTACTCCCCTATTGGGCAAAAATGTGGTACCAACTTCATTCAGTAAGTGACAGCTCATCTAAGTAAAATGGAACAGGAAGAATGCTGGGCATTTAAGCACTGGGTATGTGGAGAGAACTGAAACTTGCAAAGTTGGAAGAGCATTCCAGGAGTGAACTACTAATGGGGATGTTGTTGTTGTTGTTGTTGTTAAGTGCCGTCGAGTCATTTCCTACTCATAGCGACCCCATGCACAGCAGAATGAAACACTGCCCGATCCCGCGCCAGCCCCACAATCCCTGCTATACTTGAGCCCATCATCGCAGCCGCCGTGTCAATCCATCTCGTTGAAGGCCTCCCCCTCTTTCATTGACCCTCCACCCTACCAAGCATGACATCCTTCTCCAGGGAATGGTCCTTTCTTACAACATGACCAAAATAGGTGAGACGAAGTCTGGCCATTCTTGCTTCCAAGGAGCATTCTGGCTGCACTTCCTCCAGGACAGATCTGTTAGTTCTTTTAGCAGTCCATGGTACTTTCAGCATTCTCCACCAGCACCACAACTCAAAAGCATCAACTCTTCTTCGGTCTTCCTTATTCATTGTCCAGCTCTCACATGCATACCAGGCGATTAGAAATATCATGGCTTGTGTCAGGCGCACCTTAGTCCTCAAGGAGACATCCTTGCGCCTCAGCACTTGAAACAGTTCTTCGCAGTTGACTTTCCCAATGCTACACGTCATTTAATGTCCTGACTGCTGCTTCCATTGGCATCGATTGTAGAACCAAGCAACGTGAATTCTTTGACAACCTCAATCTTCTCTCCATTTATTGTGATGCTGCTCATTGGTCCAGTTGTGAGGATTTTTGTTTTCTTTATATTGAGACGTAATCCATGCTGCAGACTGTATTCTTCAACCTTCATCAGTAGGTGCCTTAAGTCATCCTCACTTTCAGCAAGCAAAGTTGTATCATCTGCGTATCTCAGGTTGTTAATGATTCTTCCTCCAATCCTGATACCACGTTTTTCTTCATATAGTCCAGCTTCTTGGATTATTTGCTCAGCATATAGATTGAATAAGTGTGGAGAAAGAATACAACCCTGACACACTCCCTTCTTGATTTTAAACCATGTAGTGTCCCCTTGTTCTGTTCGAACGACAACCTCCTGGTCAAGGTACAGATTTCTCATGAGTACAATCAAGTGCTCAGGAATTCCCATTCTTCTCAATGTTATCCATAATTTGTCATGATCCACACAATCAAATGCCTTTGCATAGTCAATAAAACACAAGTAAACATCTTTCTGGTATTCTTTGCCTTGAGCCAAGATCCATCTGACAACAGCTATGATATCCCTTGTTCCATGTCCTCTTCTGAATCCGGCTTGAACCTCTGGATATTCTCTGTCAATATACTGCTGCAAACGTTTCTGAATTATCTTCAGTAAGATCTTACTTGCATGCAATATTAATGATATTGTTCTATAATTTCCACATCCTGTGGGATCACCTTTCTTTGGAATGGGCACAAATATGGATCTCTTCCAGTCAGTTGGCCAGGTAGCTGTCTTCCAAATCTCTTGGCATAACTGAGTGAGTGCCTCCAATGGGACATCTGTTTGTTGAAATATCTCAATTGGTATGCCATCAATTCCCGGAGCCTTGTTCTTTGCCAGTTCTTTCATTCAACATTTGACTTCTTCCTTCATTACCATTGGTTCTAGATCATATGCCACTTCCTGAAATGGATGAAGATCCATCAGTTCTTTTTGGTACAGTGACTCTGTGTATTCCTGCCATCTTCTCTTGATGTTTCCTGCATCATTCAATATTTTGCCCATAGAATCTCTCAATATTGCAACTCAAGGCTTCAATTTTTTCTTCAGTTCTTTCAGTTTGAGAAATGCCAAGCATGTTCTTCCCTTTTGGTTTTCAGACTCCAGGTCTTTGCACATTTCATTATAGTAATTGGCTTTGTCTACTCGAGCTGCTCTTTGAAATCTTCTGTTTAGCCCTTTTACCTTTTACCTTTTCATTTCACTAATGGGGATAGAAGGGAGAATTGGGCAAGTAGAAAACTGCTCATCGGCCCTTCCAAATATGATAGGATGCCTGGACAGCTAATTTTATTGCTAAAAAATACCTTCTATACTTTGCTTTAAATTTTCCCAATTGAAAATTTGTTTGACAGTTTTCTCTTTTAGAATGCAAATGTCCCTGGAAAGATTAAGGATACTTTCTGTCATTCAGTGCTATAGCCCCTTTTACTCTGTGAGCAATTGTGTGGTTTGGGTATGAGCCAGTAGCCAGCTGGGTATCCATCTAAGCATACATGTAGTCTAGACTTCTTAGCTTCATAATGACTGAGGTCACAGTGGGGTCAAATTTAAGCCCTCCTGAAATCCAAGTAGAATTTGCTTTCCCTTCTAATACGTTGTTTAACTCTGAAAATGAGAGCATGAAAGTATCCATGTGTATTATCACGTATTGCACACTCCAGAATGAGTTAAAGTCCCTGGCCTTGAGTAATTCCTTTTCTAAATCAGGAGGCCTTGATAATGAGTCCAGTTGGTATATAAACCCAGAGTGAAGGATAGAGGCCTGTCAGATCAGCATGATTCATTCAGAGACTTTACAGCTCTATGTTGGTGCAGGGAGGAGGACTCTGTGTTAGAATTGGGTGTACCATTCTTATATATACTTTATATATATATCTATATACTTTACTTGTCTTTGCTGCGGTGGGAGTTTGGGGCATATACTGGTCTAGTGTAAGAGAGCTCTTGATTTATAAATGGATTATGTTTCCAAAGAAAGAAAATATTTAATGTTATTCTTTCATTGGTTTTCTTCCTTCTTTTCTTTTATTATGGTTTTATATATGTATATATATCAAAAAGTTTTCCATTTTAACCATTTTTAAGTATACAATTCAGTACACATAATTTTCTATATTGTGCAAACTTCATCACTATGCATTTCTAGAAGTTTTTTTTTTTTTTTGATCACCCTAAACAGAAACACAGTACCCATTAAGCAATAACTCTCCACTTCCCCCCTCCACTAGCCCTGGTAACCACTATTAAATTTTTGTCTCTTCGCATTTGCCCATTACAGATATTTCATGTAAGTGGGATCATGTAATATTTGTCCTTTTGTACCTCATTTATTTCACTTAGCATGTTTTCAGGGGTCATTCAAGTTATACATGTATCAACTTCATTTCTCTTTATGGCTGAATAATACTCCATTATATGGTTATACCATATTTTGTTTATTCATCTGTTGATAGGCACTTGGGTTGTTTCTGCCTTTTGGCTATTGTGAATAATGCTGCAGTGAACATTGGTATACAAGTATCTGTTTCAGTCACTGCTTTCAAGACTCTTGAGTATATATATACCTAGGAGTGGAATGACTGGGTCATATGGTAATTCTATATTAAACTTTTTGAGGACCCGCCAAACTATTTTCAGTAATGGCTGCACCATTTTATATCTTGTCAACGATGTACAAGGTTTCCAATTTCTCCACATCCTCAACAACACTTGTTATTTTTTCTTTTTCTATCAATAGCCATTCTAGTGGGTATGAAGTCATATCTCATTTTGATTTGCATTTCCCTAATGACGACTTCCGTAGTGATACTGCCTCGGAAACCCAAGGAGGGGTCGCTATGAGTCGGGGCCGACTCGATGGCAAAGCAACAACAACAACAACAATAATGACTAATGATGCTGAGCATTCCTTTGTTACTCTTGCCCATAGACTCTTGAGTCGGGTCTCCCATTTTCTTTCTCTTTCTTGGTTTAGTGGGTTGATGTGGTGCAATATGTCAATTATTAATTACCCAAGAAGGGATGCACTGTATATTAATTTTTGAGGTCCCAAGCGTTGGGAATATCTTTATTTGTTTGGTAGTTTAGCTGGGTATAGAATTTGAGCTAGAAAATTGTCTTTCATCAGAAGTTTGAAAGTATCACTCAGTTGTCTTACAGAGTCCAGTGGAGCTACCAAGAAATCTAATGCTATCCTTATTACCAGACATTTTTATGTGATCTAATTTTGCACTCTGGGAGTTGTTAGAATCTTTCTTATCTTAGTATTCTGAAATTTTATGATGATATGCCTTAGTGTGTTCTCTTTTCACACTAATATGTGCATTGTGCTGGGTACTT